TGCAGGGGACACGGGTTCGAGCCCTGGTCCGGGAAGATCCCACATGCCGCGGAGCAACTAAGCCCGTGTGCCACAACTACTGAGCCTGCACTCTAGAGCTGGTGAGCCACAACTACTGACCCCATGTGCCACAACTACTGAGCCTGCACTCTAGAGCCCGTGCTCTGCAACAAGAGAAGCCACCGCAATGAGAAGCTCACGCACCACAACGAAGACCCAATGCAGCCAAAAATAAATAAATAAAATAAAAAGTTAAAAAAAAAGAAGTAAATAGTAATAACAATTGCATGTAAAGTGCTCACTATGTTTAAAAAATAGTACCCTCAAGAATTATCTGTATAATCTTTGATGAAAAACTTTGTCCTGATAAAAGGTGTTTTACTGATCAGAGTAAAGAAATGGGTACTTCCTTTAAGGAGAAGTAGGCCTTCCCTCAATCTTCTCTGAGAGCATACAAAGTAGTCACCTAGCATGCTACCTTTCCATTCACAGTCAGTAGAAACTTTGGAAAATGAGATGAGAACACAGGCAACATAAAAATTGAGAGGAAAGGCATTTTAAAAATCCACATGGCTTAGAATTTTAAATCACTTGATATGAGTACATTTCAACTACACTCTAAGATATTTTGAGACAGGACATTTTACATTTTGACTGGAAGTTGGAAAGATTACCAGTGGCCTCCTGAACTGGGGAAGAAATCCTACTCAAAGAAAATATATTATTTGAGAGAACAGCAGCTAAAAGTGGATACAGAGAGGAAATGAATAACTGGCCTGTGGCAGAGTTTATATTCAAACCTAGATTGGTTTTGTCTAAAGCCTGTGTGTTCTTTTCATATTTCACTCCATAGCTGTCCTTACTCTTGGGATTCATTTTTTCATTCTTCCTTGCCTTAGTATCTCATAATTTTATTTTAAATTTGAACTGTTGCTGACTTTTTCTTGGTCTTTTCTTTTGATTTTTACTCTACCATGGCAATTCACCACCCTCTTAATTGTGGGCACATAGTTTTAAACATCCTTCAAAAGGACTCCAGGACTTCCCTGGTGGCGCAGTGGTTAAGAATCTGCCTGCCAATGCAGGGGACACGGGTTTGATCCCTGGTCCGGGAAGATCCCATATGCTGCGGAGCAACTAAGCCCGTGTGCCACAACTACTGAGCCTGTGCTCTAGGGCCTGCATACCACAACTACTGAGCCCATGTGCTGCAACTGCTGAAGCCTGCATGCATAGAGCCCCTGCTCCACAACAAGAGAAGCCACCGCAATGAGAAGCCCGCGGACCGCAACGAAGAGTAGCCCCCACTTGCTGCAACTAGAGAAAGCCCACGTGCAGCAACAAGACCCAACACAGCCCCCCGCAAAAAAAGGCTGTATTCCAAACTTTCTAGTTTAGTTTGATGATTTGCCATATATATATATATATATATACACACCATTTATATCAGTAGTTTTTACAGTGTGAAAAGGGAGAACTAACAATCAAAGGAGAATGTTTCTATAGCAAATTACATGTAGTATTTTCAGTTCAACTCAACAATGAGTCTAGGGAATCAATCTGACTGTTCTCCTTCCCTTTTCTGAAATAAATTGCTAAGCTATTTATTATGATATAAAAGAACAAATTTAGGTCTTCTAAAAATTCATTCTCCTGGTTTAACTTAATTTTCAGTCTAGGTTTGGTGATACTATTTATCATCATTTATTATCATCTGAACACTTATATAGCATTTCCTACTTCAAAATGTAGGAAAACAAACCATGTCAAGCTCAATTAGAGAATCTGATTAAAAGATAATTTTATTACAGACTAAGATGAAAAAGATACCCATTAGCATGTGGTAATAAAGAATTATTATTACAGCTAAGTCTAATTATTTATACTGCTTAATAGTTTATCTAGAAAAGAAGTTGATGGGTAATCCCTGTAGACAGTACTGGGGAAAAGATGAAGATATCAGGACGTTGCAACATTTGTCTGTTGCAAACAGTTTTTAAAATAAGACAAACGCAAAACAAAACAAAACCACCACCCATTCCAGTAGGCCTTGAATATCTTAGAATAACTTTATGCAAAACCATCTTTAAGAAGAATCACTGGAATTTCTTTTTTTTTTTTGAGGGGCTGTGCTAGAGGAGATAGTTAAGGGGAGGGACTATTGATTTTTTTAAATTAATTAATTAATTAAATTTTGGCTGCATTGGGTCTTCGTTGCCACGTACGGGCCCTCTCTAGTTGCGGCGAGTGGGGGCCACTCTTTGTTACGGTGCGCGGGCCCCTCATTGCGGTGGCCTCTCCTGTTGCAGAGTATGGGCTCTAGGCATGTGGGCTTCAGTAGCTGTGGCACGTGGGCTTAGCGGCTCCACGGCATGTGGGATCTTCCCAGACCAGGGCTCGAACCCGTGTCCCCTGCATTGGCAGGAAGACTCTCAACCACTGCGCCACCAGGAAAGCCCAGGACTACTGATTTTGAAAAACATAAGGAATAAGAAATTCTAACTTTAATACATTGGCCTAAGCTTAAAGATACGTTTATTGCTATTTACTGTAGATAATTAATATAATTTCTTAGAAACTCCAAAGGCTGGGGAAACAGAAGAATCTGGGCTCTACAAATAATTTGCTGTTTCTTACTGACCAGATCTTTATTTGGACACCACCTGTTCATTTATTCACCAGATATTTATCAAGCATCTGCTATGCGTCAATCAAGATGCCAGATGCTATGGACACAACAGTGAACAAAAATAGGCATGGCCTCCACCATTAAGAAGTTTACAGGTTAGTTGTAAAAGGACAGTAATCATACACCCTCAAACATGAATGTAAAAATACAACTGTCAGTGCATGTAGTACATACTGCTGAGAAAAGAGGTCCCTAGGAAAGAGGGTAATTGTGACCTAGTCAGGGAAGGTGTTTTTGTGAATATAGTAGCTGAAATCCAAAGGACATTATCTAGGCCAGTGATTCTCAATGGGATTGGTGGTGACAGTGGCGGTTTACTTGCCATGGAACATTTGGCAATGTTTGGAGACATTTTTGATTGTCACAACTGGGAGACACTATTGGCATCTAGTGAGTAGAGGAAAAGGACGCAGCTAAATATCTTACAATGCACAGGACAGTACCCCACAACAAAGACATCTTATCTGGCCTAAAATGTCAATAGTGCCAAGGTTGAGAAACCCTGAACAGGACAAAGGGAAAAGCCTGAGCAAAGACCAATGGTGAGAGACTCAAGCAGAGAAAACTATAGGGGATAGCTCATTCAAGGCTATGGAGACCCAGTAAGGAGTTTTAGCTTTATCTTAAGAATGAAGGGGAAAACAAGTGAAGGGTTTCAAGAAGTGGAGGAACTGCGGAGTGAGGACAGTGGTGGCGACAGGCTCAGATATGATTTTTTAAAGGTTACTAACTGCAGTATGATGAACTGATTGGAAGGAAATGAAACTGGATGTGGGTGTTTGAGATAGGTAGCTAACTAATATAACTTCTTAGAAGCTCCAAAAGCTGGGGAAACAAAAGGTGGTAGTGGCGAGGATGTAGAAGTAGCTGGAAAACTTCCTTCTATAAATGTTCAGTATGGAAAAAGGAGAAAGAAAGAATGTAGGATGCTGCGTGCAAAGTCATTCCTACAATGTGTGGGTCTGTGTGGTTTGTGTGGTAGTCCTACATGTCCCTCAGAATTCTCTCAAGGTGGCACAATAATCTCTAGGAACGGATGAAATGTCTTCTTATTTTAAAAAAAGGGACAAGAATATTCCCTCTTTCTTTTCGAATGTGATATATGGTGACTTATAAACCACTTTGTAAGAATTCAGGCAACAAAAAATTGGAGTAATTAAAATTTAATTTACAAGCCATAATCCATATTTCTAATCAAAAGTTTAGGAAGTAATAAAATCATTAGCTGGCTCCACTGAGTATATTCTCAAGAATATGTTTTTCCTCAATTATTACATTAATACCTAAGTAGAAAATATTAAAAACTATTTTATCATAGAATATATCATACATAGAAAAGAGTAAGTATAATATATAGTGCATGGTTCAAAGAATAATAAAACTAATACTCATGAGCTCACTACCAAGTGGCAGTTGTTTAATAGTGAATATTTTCATAAACTTCTTGTTTTATAAATGGCTTTTAAAATAAAGATTTGTGTTAAAACTACATAAAGGGCATTCCAACTTAACACTTTTCCACCACAGGGCAGTTAACGCTATTAAATGAAAAGAAAACCTCTCACCTGTAAACACTGAATAAAAAATCATATATTGAAAAAAAAAAAGGGTTCATTTAATATCCGGTAGGATTCACATTCCAGTTGACATTAATCTGATTAACTAAACAGGTCTTTCTTTACTGTTTTATCAAAGTAAACTCCAAAAAATTTGTGACACTGTCATTTAAAGCGTATGTTAAAACTGGTCTTACTTCTTTAAACACAAAAATAAATGCTTTGGATAGTTTAGCCTTTTAAAATGGCCTAATTTTTCTCTAGTGAAGTAACAGATTCATAACACATATTTTGGTAATATCTTATCATGCCTTATTTAATGGAATATTAATATTTTATGTAAGATTTATATATAAATGAAATACAACTGTGTATCTGGCATCCAATTTTGGCTAAAAGTCATAGCACTGTACCAAAGCACCATTAAACTCTAACTATATACACATGTCTTTTACATAAAGAGAATTTCATACTTCTTTGGAGGGGCAAGTCTAAAACTGCAAAGCTTCTTTTAAATCAAGAATTATATGACTTGATACATGTTTGGTTTAAAATTAAACAAGGATAATCTGAGCTTCATCCTTCCCTGCTGTAGGGAACGAGGTTCATCTTCAATTTAAATAATAACAGGGCAAAAGATTTTTCCTTCTCAAAAAATAAAGAGCTATCACAAAAATTCTATACCAACGAAGTCTTTTTTATATATTTCTTCCCATTCAAACCATGATAATATTAGTCCTTAAAGAATTACTCACCCAATGAAAGCCACCATCTGCTCCACTATGTGTTTGCTGAATGTTATGATAACGAAGATTTTCTGTAAAGAAAATGCCAGTTAAAATAAATATTTCTCATCAAAAACAAAAAACACAATATAAATTCACAATTCTGATAATAGTCTAAAAAGGTGACCATGCTGCTAATTGCAATTTAAAAAAATTTTAAGAAACAAAACAAAACACCATTTGACAAATGCTATGTACTTTGTATTTTAAAGATGTTTTTCCTTAAGCACAGTTCTAGCCTTGCCAGGATACGTGACCATGTCTGAGGGAGAAATGTGAGTCATGAAACCCAAGGCTGGGTGGATGTTCCACATGTTCTATGTGTTTTATTTTATTTTATTTATTTATTTTTGGCTGTGTTGGGTCTTCATTGCTGTGCGTGGGCTTTCTCTAGTTGCAGAGAGCGGGGGCTACTCTTCGTTGCGGTGCGTGGGCTTCTCATTGTGGTGGCTTCTCTTGTTGCAGAGCACAGACTCCTGGCATGCGGGCTTCAGCAGTTGTGGCATGTGGGCTCAGTAATTGTGCTTAGCTACTAGTTAGTAGCTAACGGGGCTTAGCTACTCCGCGGCATATGGGATCTTCCTGGACCAGGGCTTGAACCCGTGTCCCCTGCATTGGCAGGCGGATTCTTAACCACTGCACCACCAGGGAAGCCCGTTCTACGTGTTTCAGAATGGTGTATTCAACTAAAGTCATGGGTTCCCATATAGCCTCCACCACTGAAATTAAAGCTTATCAGCCTGATGATAGGTGTCTGGGCTAAATCTAATCAAGAGGATCTTTGAAAAGACTATGTCCTTCCTGGACAGTTCTTATAAAAGTATCATGAAAGTTCCATTCTCAGATCCTGAATGAGCTTGGAATTTCAGGCTCCGGGTACAAGCAAAGGCATCAACAAGTTTTGGGGGATCGTTATCAGACCTGGGTCATTGTCAATTTGGTATTATTCAGGTATTGTTTATTAATTAAAGATGTTGATACGTAACTTACAAGTAAAGATGCCTTTAGGCTAACAGGTAGCAAATATTTTCAACCAACAAATGGTACAAAAAGTATTTACTATGGATAATATAAGCATTATTAAGGGCTTTCAGGGAACACAAAGATGGGAAGAATACTTCTTCAATACCCTGAAGAAATTAAAAAATTTTTCTATACATAGTAGAAAGATGGTTAAGTACAAAAGATATAAACTGTAAATGTCATTAGCAGTGAAAACAATGTGTTACAGAAGTTGAGAGAAAGAAAAGGTCATATAAGTACAATTAATTAGAGATTCAAGAAGGTGATATTAAGGTTTAGCTTTAAAGGACTGAGAATAATTCTCTGAATAAATATGACTAATTCTAGATTCTCTCTCCCAGTTCCTGATAACAAACTCTCCAGTGCTTTGTTACTGTTGTTAAATAGTAACTATAGCCTATGTAACCAAATGGGAGGGAAGAGAAATAAAATAAATAACAATAGTCTTCTTTTTAGCCATCCATTATGAATCTCAGGAAAGTGGCTAATTCAGATTAAAGCTCATTATTTCAGGTAGAAGACTAATAAGGCAATGATATTTTCTTAATGTCCTACAGTTAACAAAGACATTGGCAGCTGCACAGCTGGATATGTGTGAGGAAATAAGACTAAAAAAATAAGTTCACAGTCCTTTTTGGTGTTTGTTTATGTATCTATTAATGTGAAAAAGGTATTTACTTATCTCATGAAAAAAGTAAGCACATATAGATATCAAACAATTACAAGATGGATGATGATTTATCAACAATCCTACACAAATGGTGTATGAAGATTATGAAACTAATAAGACAATTACAAGAGATCATTTAGGGAGAAAAGCATTAATATATGGGGACTCTTCTAGTATCCATACTAAAAGCCACTTAATTGGAGCTATAAATCTTTTACTAAGAAACAGAGGTAATGGTTTGCCTCTCAGTGATTTCACCACCATGTGTTCCCTACCATCATTTCCTAACATTCAAAATAAGCCAATGCCCAGATAATTGCACAATTAGACTTTCTTGAAACAAAACAAAACTTTCTTCTTATATATAACAGCTTGAAAATTCACTGTGCTGGGCAAGACATTTAAGAACATATGTCTCAGAATCATTCAAGCTTGAGGTCTGGGTGGGGATTCTACCAAATAAACAAAAGGCACAGATCCCCAAAGAGCCCAGTCAGCCATGTCAACCATGTGCACAGAGGAAATACGGGTAGAGTAGGAATAATTTAAAAAATATATATATGGGTGTAGGGAACTAATGGTGCCAGAATGAACAAAGAAGAAACTATATATCTATAAAAGAAGGGTCCTCCAATGGAAAGAAGTATCTGAGACTGATTCATATATTAAATATTTACTGAGTGCCAAGGACATGTCAGATGCTATTCTAGGCACTAGAATACCTTAGGGAGCCAAGAAACAAAAACCTCTGCCCTCATGGAGCTTATATTTCTGTATATGTATGTGTGGCGGTAGGGGGAAAGTTGAAAGGCAATAAATAATACACATGATAAGTAAATTATATGGTACATGAAATATTATATGAGTATGTTGACTCCTTATTTTCTTCATCATTTAGGAGAAAGGAAATATTTCTAAGGGAACTTCTACAGGCTGAGGAATTGAACTTGTCCAGTAGAAAGAGAAATCCTTAATTAACATTATTAGGTGGGCTGATTTCAAACTTTTAGGGGAGGTTTAACAGATAGCACAATTTTGGTTTGAATTCTAGTCCCTCCCATCTATGAAATGGGGATAATAACCACCTCACAGGATTGTTCTGAGATAACCATGCAAACTGCCTGGCACAGGTCCTGATAAACAGCAGGTATTAAACAATTCAGTTTTCGTGATCATATAAATACAGTTAAGAAGGAATTGCAAAAGAGTGGAAAGAACACTGAACTTGAAGCTGACTCTGGTTCAAATTCCAGCTGTTACTTATTCTTTTAGGCAACTATTACCTATTTCCCTCTCTAAGTTTGATAATTACAAAATGGGAGTGGTAATTTCTCTATCCCAGGATTATAAGAATTAAATCGGGTGGCATACACTAAATACTTTAAAGTGTGAAATACTATATTAAAACATTAAGCATTATTATGATAACTTGAAAAAATCTACTGAGAATGTTAAAAAAATATACTATTTTTGAATATGCTATAATGAAAAGTCTGATAAGTTACATACCCTATAACTATAGGGTACTTTTAGCATAATATATTTTATTGTATTTTATAGAAAGTTAGTACATAAAGCAGGATACATTAAATTTATGGATTCCTAGAAAAGTTGCTGCTATAAAGGGAATTAAAATAATCTGTTATTGTTCCTTAGGTATTAATACTTTCAAAGGACTTCAAAAAGCTAAATGATTTTATCATTTGAAAAACCCTATTATAGTATTTTAAATCTTTCCCAAAGTAACTAGCATTCCAGTATTTAAAAACCCATCGTCATTGAACAATACACTTAACGTAAGTAGGAGCAATTATATTCCTTGAAGGAGGAAAAATAAAGCCTTGAAATTCTGAGTGATTAGCATGGCCAGAGAGTAGATGTCAAGCTCAATAAACTCATCCTAAATGCCAAAGTCTAATATGAGAAACTGGGCAGGTAGAAGCAGCTGAAGTTTCCCTTTTTCATTCTTCTCTTCTAAGAACTGGAGGTAAAGAGGTGGTAAGCAAAAACTTGGGGGATAGACGTGCTTTTAATTATTAAGGAATCAGACCAGGGCATAGACATTACTCACTGTTCTTGCCCTTCCTTTGGTGAATGCTTCCTTCTTGCAAACCTCATTAATGAAGACATTCTTTCCATGTTAATTTTATTTTATTCTAGTAAGATTTGCCTTTTATACCACACCTATCGATTCGTATCACAGTCCTAGAAGCATATATCCATTTCCTCTCATTTAAGTTATTGGCCTCTTTTCTCTCCTCTATTTACACACACACACACACACACACACACACACACACACACAGTCCTATCCTAAAGATTTTGTTAAGAGTGTCTTTGAAGACCAACAGATTCTCACATCTCTAACCAAAACCCACATCTCTTCGCCTCCTCAGGGCCCCTTTCTTCCCCATTGTCCACATTAACATCTGGCTGGTATTTTGTAAAGGATATTTGTGCCTTGAGAGGAAGTGTTATATATAGAGCGTGAGAAAGAAAAGTAGAATTAATGAAAGGGACTACTTCCTCAGCCTATGGTCAGTAAGGATAAAACATTTTTGGACTACGTATGTTAATATGGTGTGCAATTTTCCTATACAGGAACACTATTTTCGTTTGGTAAGATTCTTGGATAAACAGTTTCACAAGGCAAAAGTGAAATAAAGAAAGAGAGAGAGAAAGGAAGGGAAGGAGGAAAAAAGAAGGAAAGAAATAAAACAAGGAAAAAAAAGAATAAAGGGGAACAACTTTCCAATAGGAGTAGGGAAAACCTGCCCGAAATCCACTAACTTCCAAACGATGTTCCGTGGCTGAATACCTAAGCATGCTACCAACCAAGAAGCAGAACCAAAATCTTAACAATTTGCCTTGGAGAGAGCAAGGAGAATATGTTTTCAGTGTCTTTTAAGGGGTTCATCATCATTAAACAGGGAGTCAAAAGGGTATAATTACCTGGATATGCATTTTAATTATTGCTTTTCCAATCAGGGTTGCACCAAAGAAAGTCCAAAAAGGTACAAGGAAGTGTCCACATGTTATTCCAGCCAGATCAAACAGAGGATTTGGAATCTATTTAAAAAAAGAAAAAATTAAAATGGAACGTCCATAAATAATCCAAAAAAACAGTTTAATTTTACCACCTATAGGTGTGTGGAATTATGTGTTAAGCCTTGTCTACCACTGGAAAGAGAGGTATGGGTTCCCTGATCAGTACTAGACTGTCTGGATAGTTTGACAAGTATTCTAATGTCTCTATAGGTTGTGTCACATATTCATCCCAGGCGGTTGCTTAATTTGTTCAAAGCAAACACAGCTGTCCTTTTGTTTGCATTACTTATGACTAATGCCCCATAAATATACTTTTTTTCATCACATTAAAACTGGATAAAGCCAATGGATCAACAGGAATTTAATTCCATTCAGTAGATACTTGACCATTTGGTAGCTGTTTAATAAGGTGAGGTATAAATGAAGAAAAAGATTATCTAGAAAGTACTCACATCTACAGAAAACATCCTTGTAAATTCACAAATACATTTATAGGTGGCCGTGCTTTCATTTCTCAACATAAAGTAAAATACAAATAATGAATTTTTTTTATCTATGAGAGCCCAAGGCCATGGGGTCATGCGATTCATTCTAGGAAGAAAATCAAGGGTGGAAATACAAGAGCACAGATTCAGATGTTGTGAATACTCAGTCCCAGACAAAGAAGTGATTCACAACAAATACCTTTTCTGAACATTCCCACGTTTCAAGAATGCTAATAGATAATTTCATGTAAAAATGCAAAGAAACCACAAGCTCTTTTTGAGCACTTCATCCATTTTTCTCCCACAGAGGTACTCTTGTCCTGTGTCTGTTGGTGGAACCATTTATAAGCTAATTAATTTATATAATTTTGTGTTTGGACTTTCAAATGAAAGCCCAGTTGTTTAAAAGATATTTGTCACAAATGTTCTTTCAAAAACAATGACATAACTAAATCAGAATTCAAGTATTCTTCTGTTAATAAAACTCAGATTCAATAGCTTAATTTTATTTTTCTTATCCAAATTCAAATGCTTTATGCAATTTCATCTGTCTTATAACCATTTAATAACAATGTCACTTCCACATCCTTACAACTGTCATTTCTTATATTTTCTCATATGACTCTCACAACTCCATGAATTAAAATTTTAATTGTTTTCCTTTATTATCAGGCTCCACAGCATATTGAAATGGAAATTAAAGTACACAAGATATGTAATCAGAGTAGATAAAAATTAGAAGTTTTATGTTGGATGCTCTCAGAAGAGCATAATCAATGAATTTGTTGTTACATATGCATGTTACTTTTTTCAATTGTTAACTAAATACACAGAAAGGAAGATTAGAATTAAAAGAACTATAAAGTAGCTTTGAGATTTTCCCTCAATTACGAGTTTTACCTTAGTTTAAATGTTAACAACAAAATAACTAATTAATAAATAAACTTCTGGGCTTCTCTGGTGGCACAGTGGTTAAGAATCCGCCTGCCAATGCAGGGGACACGGGTTCGAGCCCTGGTCCGGGAAGATCCCATGTGCTGCGGAGCAACTAAACACGTGTGCCACAACTACTGAGCCTGAGCTCTAGAGCCAGTGAGCCACAACTACTGAGCCCGTGTGCCACAACTACTGAAGCTCGCATGCCTAGAGCCCATGCTCCGCAACAAGAAAAACCACGGCAATGAGAAGCCCACGCACCACAATGAAGAGTAGCCCCCACTTGCCTCAATTAGGGAAAGCCCGTGCACAGCAACAAAGACCCAATGCAGCCAAATATAAATAAAATAAATAAATAAGTTTATAAAAAACAAAAACAAACTTCTTCCTACCTTACCCTCTACTTACCTTCTTACCTTAAATCAAGTACACATACTTTTAATACTTTAATATAAGTATTAACAATTTCCTAGTAAAAAGTTCTTAGAGGGTCAAATCGATCTATTAATTTATGTTGGCTATTGACTATTCCTAGTCAAATATAAAGAAGATTGGCTAGTATAGAAAGTGGAATTTTAGCAGGGAAGACACAGGCATAGATGAGTGCCAAAGAACAAATATTTTTTGCTTTAATAAATCAAAGATTCTTGTATTTTCCCCAGGAATAATGAAAGCTAACTTTTATTGAATTGTTAGGTACTTTTCTAAGGTTTCTACATCATCAACTCACTTAATTCCCAAAACAATGCTATATGATATTACATCCATTTTATAGACAGGAAAAGTGAGACAGACAGATTAAGCAATTTGTCCAGTATTAATGGCAGCAGAGCATGATTTCAGGATTTCAACCCAGGCAACATGGCTCTCACACTGTTCTCTTAGCTTCTAAACTAAGGACATTATCGTTCTTTAGGCCTCTCAGCTTAATCCTGTGCTGCTGGGCTTCCACAGCACCTTTCACTTATTATTGTATTTAAACTGTCTCCCTCACTAGACTTCAGAATCCTTGAGGAAAGGGAATACAGCTTTCACTTCTTCATCTAAGCAGTCAGGGGTTGATACAAAGCTGATGAATAACAATAAAAAATGGTTGAGCTCTGTCTTAGTTCACCTTCCAGGCACTGTGTTAGTTCATATGTATTATCTTAAATCCTCACATCAACCTTTGTAATGAGTGTCCTACTAACTCATTTAAAAAAAAATTATTTATTTATTTAGGCTGCACTGGGTCTTAGTTGCGGCACGTGGGATCTTCATTGCGGCATGCGGGATCTTTAGTTGCGGCATACATGCAGGATCTAGTTCCCCGACCAGGGATCGAACCCGGGCCCCCTGCATTGGGAGTGCGGAGTCTTACACACTGGACCACCAGGGAAGTCCCTATTGCCGCATTTTAAACATTAGAAAACTAGGGCTCAAGGAGAGTAAATTGACACTGAGACTACATAGCTAAGAGGCAAACCTGGTTTAGGAACCCAAGTAAGCCTGACTCCAAAACCAATTCTCATCCCACTACATCACACTACAACATACCTACACATTGCTCAAATAGTTGAGATCAATATTGTGATAAAGAGCTTCTACACTGAAAAGAAAAGTTAGATTACAAAAATTTCTAGTATTGCCAGGGTCAAAAGATAGTAATTGAGGCACATGTATAGTTTAGAATATCTCTAGAATGTTGATATCACATTAGAAATTTTGGCGCCAAATGTCTTCCCTTTTTGGCCATTTACTTTGCTAAGGTGAGGAAAGGGGTACTCAAGGATATATTCAAGTTCTAATACATAATGGATAAAGTAACTGTGGGTCAGTAGACAATAATTTTCTGAATTTTACTTATAATTGAAGCTTTTATCTTATCAACTAGATACATCTAGTTATTCTGGTCAAATCTACCACTGAGCTACCAAGAATTGTGTGCAGACTACCAAAGAAAACCTTGACCAAAACACCCCATTTCAAATGTAACTGTATCTATTATATTAGAAAAGGACGAGGATAAACACCAACTCATCAAGGAATGTCAATTTCATAAATTTGCAATTTGAGACATTTATTTTTTTATAGAGTTATTTTTTTATATACAGTTAGTAACTTCTTTTTTCTTTTTTTAAATTTTATTTTTATTTTTGGCTGTGCTGGGTCTTCATCGCTGTGTGCAGGCTTTCTCTAGTTGGGGAGAGCAAGGGCCACTCTTTGTTGGGGTGCGTGGGATTCTCATTGTTGTGGCTTCTCTTGTTGCAAAGCATGGGCTCTAGGCGCGTGGGCTTCAGTAGTTGTGGCATGTGGGCTCAGTAGTCGTGGCTCGTGGGCTCTAGAGTGCAGGCTCAGTAGTTGCAGTGCATGGGCTTAGTTGCTCTGAGGCATGTGGGATCTTCCCGGACTAGGGCTTGAACCTGTGTCCCCTGCATTGGCAGGCAGATTCCTAACCACCACGCCACCAGGGAAGTCCTAATTAAGTTTCTGACACAAATAGGTTCTTAATTCACTGTAGCCAAAGATGTCCTTAACCTTGTCACAGATGTTTCAATTACCTAGCTAGGTGTTAAAGTCACTTAAGGAGGTTTTATATGAATTCTTCCTTATAACTAATGCCTGAAGCTTTGGAAAAAGACTACCTATCTGTAACTCTGGAAAGAATGAAGTCATTGTTATTTGCTTAAATGCACTTCATTATATATTCTTCATGAGAAAGATGGATTTTGTCTCTTTTTTCTTACTGAATCAGGCCATTTAGGTCTGAAGTCATCATGGTATGATGAAATGCTTGAAAGTCAATAAACAACATAGAAACCTATCCAACAGAAAACAGCTCATTTGATCAGTAAGGTGAATGATTAATAACATTATATACCTGTTAAAAGTGATAATTATTTTTTCATTCAGTCATGTACTTTTTTTTTTTTTTTTTTGCGGTACGCGGGACTCTCACTGTGTGGCCTCTCACGTTGCGGAGCACAGGCTCCAGAGGCACATTCTCAGCGGTCATGGCTCACGGGCTTAGCCGCTCCGCGGCATGTGGGATCTTTCTGGACCGGGGAACAAACCCGCGTCCCCTGCATCGCCAGGCAGACTCTCAACCACTGCGCCACCAAGGGAAGCCCCAGTCATGTACTTTTAAAAACAAATTGGATCGAAATATAAATCTACTATTTTTTTTTTTTAAAAGAAGATGTTGGGGGTAGGAGTTTATTAATTAATTAATTTATTTTTGCTGTGTTGGGTCTTCGTTTCTGTGTGAGGGCTTTCTCTAGTTGTGGCAAGCAGGGGCCACTCTTCAGTAAATCTACTATTTAAATACAATTCACTTACCGAAGCACAGGCCAAAATTCCAAAAAATCCAACCTTCTGTACTAGGTTTTGAACTGCCAGTTTAGCCCGGGAGGCGAAGTCCTGTATAAAAGGAGGATATCAAAACATTAATGAAAAGTAGAAGAAAGAAAGAAAGATGGCTCTTTACAGAGTTTATAATATCAAATGTCTCATAATCTGAAAGCATTGATTCATTTAATAAGATGAATGATTAAAAAAAATCACAGCAGGGTGCACTGAAAAACATGCAAATAAAATCTTGATAAAACATTAACTACACATCCTTAAAGATAAACTTTTATCACATTTCAAGAATAAGCCAAAACACTGTTACTTTATTTTTTGGGTTCTCTCTGGATTAGCTAGGGATGAACAAAACGTTATAAGCCAACCATGAACCAACCCATTCTTTTGGAAATGCTAGTCTACCACATATCTCTTTCTCTTTCCTTTAATTAACTCATCAGACTTACTCCCTCATTAATATCAGGGTAGGAAACCACAGGATTTTTCAAGATAGCCAATGAAGACACCTCTACTGATCATTGGCCAAAAGATGGAAAAAAAAGTTATGTGGCAATAACTAACCATTCATTACCCCACAAAACAAAGAACATCCTACATTTACACAGTTTGTGCTAGTTATATAAAACGGTTTTCACAAACATTCTACTGGAGCCTTTCAATAATTCTCGGGTATAGGCAGAGTAGATACTTCAGGCTCTAAAATCACTGCTCTTTTTATTTCACTCTTCTACCTCCCAGGCTGAAACATGCATTTGGCTGGCCAATTTATTTCCACGATTTTCTTCTTCTAGCATGAGGATGCTGTAATTATATATATTTTTTCTTAAAAGTACCAGTCTGAAATTTGACTTTACCTGTTTTCTGGTTTTGAAATTGTATATACTCCAATCAAAATTTCAATGAAAATAATTGATACAATTAAAAGATATTAGCTAATGTGTGAATGTCTTTTTAGAAGTGTTCATGTCATAGAACACTCCTCTCTCTTTAGCTCAACATACTCTAATAATTAGTCAACAATCTTATAGAATGGTCATAATATAAATGATAGAAGGTTCCTTCATAGACCAGGAAGAGGGTTTAAAGCACTTCCCTAATCTACAACAGAAGTTGTAGATTCAAAAAACAAACACACAAAACCACTTTAACCCATAATATTATGTTGAACAGCTGTATCAAAGTACAACAGTGAAGACTGAAATTAAAAAAAAAAAAGACCTTCCACCTACTTACTTGCTGAGGATGGTGAGAAAGTCAAAGGAATTAAACCAATAATATATATTTGAAAAGATATTAACAGGGCTTCCCTAGTGGCACAATGGTTAGGAGTCCGCCTGTCAATGCAGGGGACACGGGTTCGAGCCCTTGTCCGGGAGGATCCCACATGCAGGGGAGCAACTAGGCCCGTGCGCCACAACTACTGAGCCTGCGTGCCATAACTACTGAAGCCCACGTGCCTAGAGCCTGTGTTCAGCAACAAGAGAGGCCACTGCGATGAGAGGCCCATGCACCGCCACAAAGAGTAGCCCCCGCTCACCACAACTAGAGAAAGCCCGTGAGCAGCAACGAAGACCCAACACAGCCAAAAATAAACAAAATAAATTTTAAAAAAGAGATATTAACAGATATTAACAGTTAATACAAATACTTTCAAGTTCAAACATATAGGCTATCAAAGTTAATCATTAACTAAATTCTACAATGCAATTTTGTAATTTTGCAGTGTATTTTCAAAGACAGAATTTTTCTTTTTGGGATTAGGCTTACTCGTCTAGTAAATAAAATATATCAGATTTAATATTTTTAAACAACTAAATTACTGCTGCAAAAGGTTCTCTGTATTTTTTTTCATATTTCTAACTGAAGATTTAATTTTTTTTCTTAAATTAACATTGACTGCATTAAGAGTGAAATACTGATTTTATTGATTTAAAAACTGGTTAGGAATATATAATGAAATCAGTTTTCCTATATAACTTATTTAAAACTATACATCCAATTGTCTTGAATAATTTACATAATTCACAAATTACTAAATTTGTAATTCATCAGAGCACTAAATACAAACTGGCCATAATGAATAGAAATGTTTTGAGTTTTAAAATTACCAAATAATACTATTATATTATAAATTAGTTATGAAATTTTAATTAATATAGCTGAAGAGTTAAAAATATAAATTCAGGAAAACGCCTTCCTTCACAGCCTTTCATATCTTCATAGCAAATCTACTTTAGTGAAAGATGGTACTCAATTGTGAAGAAAAAGTAAAACAAAGAAAACAAAAACTATACAAATTTTATTTTAAAGACAACAAAACTTTTTATAAACCTATTTGCCAAGTCAGACTAATGTGGGAACATTTTTCTATCGCAGCATTTATGCAGTCTTCAGTATATAAAATTACAAAAAATTAGTTTTTTGCATAAAATAGTGTAGACAAGATCAACAAGGTGTTGTATATAAAAGGTATGCTATCCTGTTTTCCTTTATCTTAATTTCAAGGCTTTAGATTCTTATATTTATTTCAACCAAGTGACTATGATAGTGTCATCACTTTAAACTGATGGTATTTTTCTATTATAGAGATACATACACCCATACATTTAAATTGAAAAAGAGGTATGATTATACTAATTGGCTTATATAAAGGAAAAAATGTTTAACATTATGCAGATCAGCGAACATACAAACTAACAAAAATATTTAAGCCTAGGGAAGTTTAAGGAATCATATTTTTTAAAACATCCTGAAAGTAAGGAACTATTTTATCCCTTGGCAGAATCTCTTTACTTAACAGAAATTAGACAAGAAAAAAATGAAAATAAACTCCTTGTTCTTTCGGATGTCTGGGTGCCCATCATCAATTATCCTTAACAGTGCTTCAAGAATCTTTGTTTGAAGGAAAAGCGTTACTCTACCCAAATAAGTATAATAGAAAGTTCCCTTTACTCTTCTTTTTTTAAATTAATTTTTAGCTGGCATATTTTACAAGGAAAATAAGTTAAGTGCCTTTTTAATGGGGAGTTTTACTTTTTAAAAAGTCTGAAAGTCATCTAATGAAAATGGATTTCATAAATCTTACTATGTATTACACACACACACACACACACACACACACACACACATATACACACCATGACCATGCTACTTTCACTTCCTATAATTTATTTTCCAGGTCTTTCACAATATTCTTGGAATTAAAATTACATTTATATATTAAATAATTCATAAAAGTTTATTTAAATTAAGCTAATAAGTCTGCACAGTTGCTTTCATCACAAGAAACCAACAGAAGCTGAGTATGCAGCTCGAGGAAGAATTTTCTTGATGTTTTTCCTTGCCAGAGTAATGAAAACAAACTCAAGGCAGCATTACACTAGTATTTGCACCAAATCTGAAATACTTTACAGTGGTAAATTAACTCATGTTTAGATTTCATAAACACAACTATATTTTGTTGTTTTTATTTTAAACTTATTTCACATTTAAAGTCATATTCAAAACTTACTGATATGGGTTTAAAGGCTTTGTTAACATTTATTAAAAACATCATTTTTTAATTGTCTAAAATGTTCTACATCTTAAAGGTAATTATATGTTCCTTGTTTGTTGCTCTGCAATTTTAGAAGTTATTTTTAAACAACTTCAGTACTTCTTCATTATTTGCATTTATTTGACAGCTTTCTAATGATGTAAAGCTAACATTTTCTATGCATTAAAATATTTCTGTTTGTGTTTGCTTTTAAAGTAAAGAGAGAAAAATGTACTATAGGTATAATATTAGACAATAAACACAACTCTCTCTCTCTCACACACACACACACACGCACACAAAAACAGGAAAAAAAAACCTTCTTTTATTAAAGTTTAAAAAGAACAATTTCAAACAAAATTTGCTATTCTTTTTAGGCCATCAGATAAAATAAACTAGCCAAGAAAAACTGTGCACCAATAATAATAAACAACAATAATTTAAAGGAAAAGTTTAACAAATTAATATGTGAGATTCAAAATTCAAGTTAAATATCAAATTAATATTTCATTTTAATCGTTTTCTTTTTTCGTGTTTGTGGGAACTGTGTAGCAAGTTCAATTTGATTACTTACTTCCTCAATTGTCATTCTTCATTAAAAAAAAATCTGCACAACTAAAACCAAATTCCTTTTAATAGTTTCATTTCGCTGGATTCACATTTCACAACACTCAAGTATTTCACAATTTTAAGTGCCTGAGAGGGGTTTCATCCTCTAGCTCTATCTAAATAAGCAGCATGCATTTACAACTAGTAATCATATATCATTTTCTACTTTTTAAAAGTAAATAAACAAAATACAAGTAAATAAAATTATCTTTCCCACTCCCACTGATAGTGATTATGTACGTAACCAATCATGCTTCTGAAAGTAAGAATGAGAGACACCAGGAACATTTCTCCAATGACTACAGAAGGCAGATGAAGAAAAGTTACAATAAGTCCTTACTACTGAGATTTCAAGGATTAATAAAGAAAAACAGACAATGCCTTCAAGTATGAATATTCCTGCACTACTTTTGTTTCACATTTCATCTTCCTAAGAAATATATTTAAGATTAAGAGAAGAGAAACTGTACAGCTAATTATAATAATTAGCTTGCAAAATACTAATTTTTGAACTGAAGAAGTCAACTTAGATCTAAATATATAAAATAATGTTTATCTTCAAATGGTAACAGAAAATCTTTTCATTTTCATGATAAGGGATCACATTAAATTCCAAGATTTCTTTCAAAGCAACAGATAATCCCTAAACATGTAAAATGACTGGAGGTAAGTATGTATTCGGTTAATACCTTATGTTAGTTTGAGCTGAACTATCACCATCAGTGTGAGGTAACTGGTCAGCAGTTTTATAAATTAACTGCCTTCTTAACATGTTATATGTTAAAACTTCTTTTCTTTATAATATATATATTTTTAAAGGATTTTATCTTATTTTTATTCTTTTTGGCTGTGCCGTGTGGCTTGCGGTATCTTAGTTCCCAGACTAGGGATTGAACCCGGGCCCCCGGCA